CCCTCTTGATCATTTCTATATTTGAAGTTAACAATAAATCTAAAATAGCATTGTTTCTAGTAGGTTCCTTGATTAATTGGTGAAGACAGTCATCTTGAAAAGTTTCCAAAAACCTTTCTCCCTCATGGTTTGACTCTAGGATTTCCCAATCTGTATGCCTGAAATTAAAATCACCCATAATTATGACTTCATTAACAGCTGAAATCTTAATCTTATTGTAAAGTTTTGCACTAATTTCATCAGTATCATTTGGTGGTCTGTAACAAATTCCCACTGTTTTTTTCCCTTCATATCCACTAATAGAAATGCAAATGGATTCAATCTCCTTGCTGTTATCTTTGATATTCACAACTTCAGTGTAACTCGCATTTTACATATAAAGTACTCTATCCATATTAAATAGCCTGTAACCCTTTATTTCAAATAAATATGCTATCAAATTATCTATGTTTATATATATATATGTATTAGTTATTCCCATTATATCAAAATTATTCATTCCTTCCAGTGCTCTAAAGTCATCTATTTTATTTCTTATACTTCTAGCATTACGATAGTAACAATTAAGCCTACTCTTATAACTACTTCTGTACTCATTTCTTATGCTAAACTTTTCCCTTTATTCTTTTTGAAATTAGTTTATCCTGGCCCTTGTCACTGTCTAGTCCTAGTTTAAAACTTCCCTTACAGCTGAGTTAATAACTGTAGCAAACAAGCCAGTCCCTATCTTATTTAAATGTAAACCATCCATTTCAAAAAGCTTCCTTCTTCTGGTGTATTCCTTGCATGTAAAAGCTTAAGCTCCTCTTGAAATCCTACTGCTACAAGCTACACTTCTCTTTATCTATTGCCTCCACTTTAATTATACATCATTAATTCTGGGTCCCTTACGCATTGTTTTGTTGACTGTATATTTGTTTACTAAATCAATTTCATATTTTAACTCTTCAGTGTAGTAGAATCTTAACTCTGATTTCATTTTTTAAAGTGTTTGTGTTTCAAGCTGAAAAGTCAAAACAGTGCTTTTTTGTTTTTATAGGCCTTCCATAAGACCTGCCATTATTCCAAGGGAACCAGAAGAGCAGTTACTACCTGAAAGGAAGACAGAAGATTATTCTGAAAGTAGTTTAACTAGCAGTGGGTTTGGCAGCCTTCCAAGAAAGTCAAAAGGTGGGGGTCCATCATCAGGTTAGTTGTTACACCAAAGCTAAATTATTCAACTAATGATATAATAGTTTTGCTTTACTAGAAACACAATTATAAAGTCAAAAAAATGGTGTTCATAATCTATTTTTAGCATTCTTAGTAAAATGGTGCCAGTTAAATATCAACTGTGCTCTTTTTATTGGACAGTATTTGTTGATATTTCACAATTACAATCTGCAGTAGATGGCTTTTTATTAACCTATTGAAATTTATTTGTGAAATGAACTTAGGTAGCACCTTTTTCATTAATTCTTGCTGCAACCTTACATCTGTATTCCTGGCATTTGTATAAAGCAGTCACTTTTTCACTAAGTTCAGGTCTGTTCTGTATCATTACTGACCATTGGGCAACCCAGCACTTCCACCCATCCCTATCTTGTGCACGTTGTTGGTTTGTCTAGTTAAGAAAGCAAATACACAACACAAGTGCTTAGGTTTATAAAATACTTAATTGGTAGAGTACCATCAAGTTTTGATTAAGTTTGTTTTTGTGTTGATGTATCTCATCTTTTTTTGATGGAACACATCTTATTGATCAGTAGAATTTTATTCCAATGAATTTTTACAATAACAAATATTTTCTTTTCTGTGGAAACTGAGACTGGCCAAATCATGGCTCCTCATAAGTTTCATTTATCCATGGCATTCTGGAGAATGGTTAACCTAATTGTCACAATAACCTATTATTTCATAAAAACACTGAATAAAATGATGTTTCCTGTATTCGCTCACCAAATAAAAACCAAACTATTATGTGAGAAAACCCTCAGTTATAAAAATAAAAAATTTTGATCTGCAGGATCAGATGGCACTTCCACAGATGAGACTGAATGGAAGAAAGATGAACTTCTTGCACCTCAGGTAGAGTGTGAATCAGGCCACTCCCGTAATTCCAGTTATGCCAGTCAACAATCACATGCCTCAGGTTATAGTAGTCTCCATTCCCATTCTAGGCAAGGAAGCTCAGAGTCAGGACATCTTCGGTTAGTAGACTTTGTTGTCTTAATTTTATATTAAAATAAATATTGAGACCCTCCTTTTTAATAAATGACCAATCTCGTAACTGGTGGCATGATTAGGAATCCTCAGGAACTGTACACACAATTTGACATTTCTGTTAGGTTTTTATTTTCAACTCCCAAACAATGAAATGATGTAAGTTGCTTAGTCCTGTCATTTTGCAGTTTTAAATTAAATTTTACCTAGTTATTGGAACATATAGAGTGAACATTACAAAAAATTCCATTTCTTTTTTAATTTACATATGACATAACTCAAATATATATAAAATTCCAGTTTGTGAATTTGATTTTTTTTTTAATTTTAGGCCGAAGTAATACTCTGGTTTCATAAATCAGAATGGTTAGTAGTAATGAAATGGGTTATGAGATCAAATGAAATGGCAAGCAAAATCACCATGCCTTGCTTTAAATGAGTTGTTTTGTACTTTTGGGAACAAGTGATCTATGCATATGTGCTTATATACTTACTGAATGAAGGAATACCATATGAAGTGATTGTCTTTCTTGACAGCTCCTTAATGCAAAATTTTGCTTAAATCACACGTAAAAAATGACGAGTGAATGAAGGATGTCACCTGTAATGCATCCTTTGTGATGCACAGGAGAAATAGGGTTATTTACATTTTTTAAACTTTTCAATTCATTATAAACTGAAACATATATTCCATGTTTGCTATAATTTTCAGCAAAATAACATGTTGAGGCATTGACACGTAGATTTAAAGAAGAAAGATTTGGTACTACAAAATGATAACTTCAGAGTATGCACTTCACACAACATGTACAAGATACAGTTGTGGCTATAGTAATTTGACCATATTTGATATTGCTCAAGCTAAATTTTTATCACTTTGTTACAGTCTACTAATCTCTACTGAACTGGGAGTAACAGTAGCTTAAGCAGTTTAAAAGAGTAGAAAAAAGAGTTTTTATTGTATGTTTAGATCACAAGCCTGTAACTTCTCAGTTACATTACAGCATGACAACTATGTTTGGAAAACAGTGATTGCCTGAAATAGATGAAAGTATATATTGAACTTACATAGTAAAATAGCACTATTTTGTTCAAAGCTATTTTTACTTTCCTCTTAGGGAGCCTTATGTGTCACATCATGCTCAGAAAAATGACTAACACTGATGGTTTTTTTGGATCGTACTGATGTCAACCCAAAATAAAAATATGTGACTTTTTAAAACTTCAACTTGGAAGTCTATTTGGAAGAATGGCGACAAATTTATTTTTTATCAAATGTTTTAATTCACTGATGCAATTTCTCTTTGTAGGTGGATGTACCCATCTAAGTGTGATAGCTTGAAACAATTAAAAAAAACGTCTGCCTAAAATATTTTAACAATTAAGTGTTTGTTAAAGTGCAAATAATTTTAATGATAAGTAACAGTTATTACACAAAAGCTGATTCATGTATGTGATTTTTCTAATTAAGAATGTCATTAATTTTTTTATCCACTTGAAAACAATTTTTTTGAATAAATACTATATATAGTTCTCTCCTTGTCAAATATCCACTTAGGCCTATTCAATTACTCTAGAATTCCAGTTGACAAGCCAAACTATATTTTCTATTACTATCACACTAGTATTTTGTGTGTGATTCACTTATAATTGTGGTGCTAGTTATCATTTTGGTCTTCTTTCTTCAAAATATCCTCTGTTCCTAATGTCAAAGTGCACTCAGATTGTTTCAATTACTTCAGAACCATGCTTTGACAAAATAAATTATTATTCTTATCTCCTTTTTTACTGTTACTCTTACTCTAACATATTAAACATTTGGCCTGTGTTAATCGTCAGGCCTATCACTTCTATGGTAGTTAACTTCACACCAAAATTTTCTTTGTTGTAACTTTACTTTCTTCTGCTGTTGTCTGTCTGCTGTTTATGCTGGTTTCACATTATTTATATGTTTATCACTTAATCATCTGCATATCCTTCTAGAAATCTCTATATTCTCAACATCAATGTGTTGCACACGATGTTTGATAGTCTCAACATCAATGACTTATTAACACAACTTCCTACAATCCTCTGCTTTTAACTCTTATTATAACAAAAACTAAATAGTAATAAAATATTCACTCACAAAAATAAATTAATCAATAATATCTAAACTAAACAGTCTTTTATATCATGACAGTCACCTTTTGCCAAAATGTAAAGTTGGCTGTAAAAGTAGAATAAAGTTTTTTTTAGATAAAATTGTGTTTTTTGGAAAATTACTACATTTTCTTAAATTAGTGCATGTTAACTTAATGATTGCTTATTATATCTTACAAATTCAGACCATTGTTTAACAGTTACTTTGTTCCCACCCATCTTCATCTCTTTGGTTTCATTTTTCCAACCACATCTTGAATGTTTGTTCTTTTTTTCATGTATTAAAGCTGATAATAATAAATATGATGGCAATAATTGAACAAATTTTAATACCAAACTGCCAGTATATTAATATTGGAATAATCTGCGATTAAAAGCAATATAACAATTAGTGTATGACTATTTATTTAAATAGCAGACATCTAGAGCAACATACTTTAACAATAACTTATATGTTGTTTGTTGAATGACTGTTTACAGGAAGATGGTTAACAACTAGTTTGCTCTCTGTAATTCATTGCTCTCATCAAACTGTTGATCTATAGCATAATATTATAGTCACAGATATGTTGGATTATGAATCAAATGTATATCTAAAGACACAAAGGTGTAATAAAATCACAGAATAAAATAAAAACATTTCCATGTTTCTCTGTTTGGTTTAATGTTTGACTTTCATCGTATTTTTAACTCATTTTTATAAAGAAAAAATTAGCTAAAGACACAGGAATGTCAGATAAATAAATGGTTATTATTCCACAAAGATAGTAATGATATGTTTCTTCATGATTTTGTTGTAAAACGTTTTCATGTAAATACGTCTTTAATATATATGTCTTTTAATGTAAACCTGACTGGAAAATCTTTATTGTGAAAATAAATTATTAAAAAGAATTATTGTGACCAGATTTTTTATTATAATAATATCACTGAAATCTTTAATCATTTGAGTAAGTTTGAATTATAATATAAGTAAACCAACCTGTCACACACACGTGGTGCACTCTAGTGACAAAAATATGAACTATGACCAGGTCATCTTTGATCTCCCCCATGCCCTGAGACAACCAATCACCATCAGGCTGCATCCTATGGACGCATAAGTGCCGCCGTTACTACAGTTGATGCTATGATAAATAACACAAAAATACTTACTTTCACACAATTTATTCATAACATATTATTACAGTATTCATTATTACCTCATTATTACCATTATTACCTTTTGTATAAGGTTTATGAACTCGATATGTATATACTTAAAACATGGTATACACTGTACAATGGGCAGGGTGACTTTGTACAAAGAGGTAGCTGCCAAACATGTGTCAGTAGGGGTGCTTTTTGTTACCCACTTTCAACATCCAGCTCTTAATGCCCTTCCACAGTGTTTTGCATGATTAATTAATTGAATGTCTTTGGCTGCAGAAGTGTGTTACAGACAGAAGTTGAAAGGTCATGGGTCAAAGTAGGAAGTAGGTATAACTAAAGAAACAGCTCTCATATCAGCCTTATGGTGGGTGTTGAAGTAGAAACTTCAGCTGAGTGTGTGTATTATTGGAATAGTAGTGGCCATTTTTTTCATTTCATTCCTCCATAGTGAGATATATAAGACATTTGTATACCCACCCCCACACTGTGTATATGTTGTATTATAAAAAATTCAATAACATTCTTTTGTTTTTTGTGTAAGGACATGGCACCATCCATGAATTTAGTTAACATTAATTTATGTCAAAGATAATAAATGCTCAATAACAGCAATAATGAGAGATATAGGGTTGTGAACGACCATTAACATGCCCCTTGTTCTAAACTATCATACCACAAAGTTTGCTTCAGATTGGTCCAGCAACCTAGGGGTAGTTAGATAACAGACAGATACACATGGAAGTTGTGATATCCTATTGGTTGCTACCTTTTTGACAAAATGTAAAATGGTAACTGTTGTTAGTTACTTGTTAGTTAGTTGTTTTACTTATAAAACAGTGTACATATGTGATTAGATTTTTTTTATAGTGGTTCCTTTAGAAACCCATTTGATAAAGCATAATATCAATATTACTTTAATATGTAATCAAAAATACCTTTGGCACAAAAAATGTGCAGCCAAAAAGGATTTAACATGGGACTTAAAGGAATGAAATCAAAATTAGTGGCCCAATTGGTAGCTATACTTATAGCATTGATGACAATTTTATGCAAATATTCATTCATTAGTTAGCCAGGCCATATTTGTTGTTCAACTTGGGGCATAATGGTAGATAAAACAAAAGATGCAGCATAGCTAACTAATTGTTACGTCTCTGTTCTTTCTTAATTTCCAGTAGAAATTCTTCCCGAGAAACTTCAGCGATACAAGTCCTTTCTTAGATAAAACTAGTTTATTCTTTCTCAACAGAACTTTGCAATATACTTAATTTCCACACTTAAATGCACGCTACAATTCTCAACAAACGATTCATGCACTTTACTTACTACCGCAATTGACTCAATTGTCCATCTATATTTTCAATCTCTCTGTCTGCTATTCAATTCCGATTCATTGTCTGGCACACTTACATACAAGACTACCACACATCTAGCAAACACTCGAGCATTCGAGAATATCATGATGTGTTACTAGCATCACGTGACATCCGCTGTCGTAACACTGCCCCTTCTTTAGTATTGTTTGTCCTGAACAATAGCCACTTACATTAAACCAATAGAAAATTAAC